AATAACTTTTCGAAAAGAGCAAAAAATGGAGGCCATTAGCTGGACAAGCCGTAGGTATCTTCTTCTTTTGTGAACGAAGAAAGAAATCATCGTCCTTCTATATAAGCACAAGGATGACTCTTAAGATTGCAAAATGGAAAAGATTGATTCACATTCTTTTTTATTTCACAATTGTTGCTAGGGGCCGAAAGAAAACTAGAATAAAAATAGAAAACAAAAACTGGAGAATAATAGGTTATCGACCATACTGATTCCCAATATGACCATGGGGATTGCCCTTAGCCCTTCGAAGATCCGGTATTCTGGAAAACCAGTTATTCAGAAACTCTAAAAAGTAACCAAAATCTTTCTTAATGAGGCACAATTGTAGCCCGTAAATTTCTGATTAAAAAGAGACATCTTCCAGCTATACATGACCTTTCTTTGCATAGTTATAGAATTTACATGAAAAGACCTAAACTAATTTCTTCTTATCTCTGTATAATGCATGTTAATCATGTTTCTAATATGAACTTGTTTGTCTTGTAATTCTCGTGACAGAAAATAGTTCAGCTCCATGGTAGTAATTATTTCATTGAATTTCGTGTCTTCGATCAACGTGAGCAGCGTTTTGTGCTCATCTCACACTGTAATGTGGTAGTCCTTCTTGTCGATCTCCATATCTAATTATCTGATCGCCTGTTATTTGGAATACACAAGAATAAGTATAGCTAAACAATCGAGCTTAATCAGTCATTTTAGATTACCTATTATTGTGTGAGAAAAGCAATCAATCTTTCAGCTGAAAAAAGATTCAAGATATCAGCACAAACGAAGTCAATAGGTTAAGGATCATCTCGCAGTTGATTCAGACAAACTAATACTATGAAATCTCGTATAAGTTTATTCATTTTGTTTCTCCAATGGCGACTATTCTGAAGTTGCATTTTCAACACGCAAAACAAAAGAAAGACAACGGTTTGTTTAGGAAAAAGCTTGAAATCTATTCTCACTAATAATATAACAAAAAAAATGTATGAAAACACACATAAAATGCTAAAAATACAGCTACTTTATGCTTTTCTCTCACAATTAATTTGTAGGTTCGAAACGAAGAAAGAAAAAAGAAAGTTTAGAAAAAATTGCAAAAAAAGTAACAATATTACCCGACTGCTTTCTATCTATACAATGACCTGCTGTTTATGTCTAGCAATGCAGTTATCACTTGGAAACTTGAAGTAAAATTGAGAGAACAAAAATATTTACAATTATGAGTAAATGACTTGCATTTGAAATTAATAAATGGACAAACAAAACGAGGAATATGTACAGTAATATAAAGTGAAATGCGTATACGTGACAAAAAATGAGTAGATGTAGAAAACATGAAGACGAAAACAAAAATTTTAGTAGTCCTTCACTTTTTCTTCGACTTTTTGGCTACACTTACATGAATGCACGAAGCACTGGTTTCTCTTGAATTTGATAGCGATTCTTCTTGTTTTCTTCTTTGTGTTCTTTTGCTTCGCTATTCTGTAATTCATCAAACTCATCGAGAGCTAAAGATAAGAAGGAATGAGTTCAAATAGTTCATTAAAGTGGAAAATGCATCATCTGATTCTTACGTCCTGATGGTAAAACTGACGTTGGTGTTTGAAGTGGACTGTACGTCCAACGTTTTTTATCATAAATAGAACAACATACAAATTGATCGGCTTTTTATCTTCAGTGCGATATGCCAAGTAATAACTATCTCGGGAAAAATGACTTAGCAACGCCATAAAACAAAAGAATAATGGGGTTTCTTCAAATCCACATAAACCTTGTAACTGAGCGAAAATTCGATGTTGGTCGGCTTCCAGCACGGTCGATAAATCAAATTTCCTTTGAGCTGCTTCCTGAATATTTTGCGTCATTTGTTCGCCGAAGCTGCTAATACTTGTCATCTTGTAATAAAGTGGCAGCAATCCAGCAGATCGGAAATAGAAAAAGAATTTGTCATCTAAATCAAGTCTAGCGAACCATAATACAATCGCTCGACTATAAAAACGGAGGACAGTTAGTCCTCTCAATACTGTTTCATCATCTGAAATAAAACATCTCTAAAATGTTTTCACTATATTTTTCATTTTATTTTTCTTATTTTAGTTGTATGCGCGTCTGTAGACACCAAGAAAGAGAATATACGAATAAAGGCATTGTAACAAAAAAGATTTCGTTATTATATTTTCAAAAAAATTTTCGTCATCGAACACAATGTACATATTGAAAAAGCGTCAGCTTCATCATTCATATAACGGGGAATACCCAGTACTAAAACATTTTTCAGTCCAGTATGAATGACACCAGTATTTAATGTGTATATGAGCAAAATTAAAAACAGCGAAAACGAAATAGTAAAGCCATTGTGAAAATTTATAGTTGTTATATGCTTGCTATCGGCAGATACACCAGTTGTAAGTCTACATTTTTCATTAGTTTAACAAAAATATTAAATATGCGATGTATTTTCACAGAAAGATAGGTGACTTTTTAAGATTTGAATGTAATATGTCCTTGTAGAATATTGTACACATATGATCTATCTATGGGGATACACATCTTGTCTAAAATCTCTTTCGAGGCTGTGTACTCAGTTTAGTTGATGCGGTAATGAAAGTGGTTTGCTCTAGTTAAGAAGAGATGCTCGAGTGGCTTGATCAAATGTATTTCAAAAACAGAAAAGAAAAGAATAATCAAATAAACGAAAATATGTGAAAATTAATAACAAGAAAAAAAACAGAGAAACCTGGATATAAGAAAAAAGAATCATCATAAACCGGGCATTTTATTGTCACTTTAGTTGTCTTGATGTTCTTGATGTCTTGGTGGTCGTGGTTGTCGTCGTAACACGTAATTTTGATAATAACGGCGACTATAATTCACGTTTATCAAATTGTACGAGAACTCTTGAACACATTTACTTTAAATAAATATATCAAAATTAGTTATCGAGGACTAAGAGATAAGAATAATTTACCATTTAGCGAACGTATCGCCAACGTTGTGTACTTGTGTATAACACAGTTGCACAAGCACATTGACGAACTAGATTCGGATAAACATAAATCTCCTGCTGACTTGTTGTTGGATTTTCCTGGAAAAAAAAATTTTTTTGATTTTGTGAGAGCTAAACTATGAACGATTTACTTACTCTGACCAAACATATCTCGAGAAAACCTGATAAACTTCTTCCCTTGTGATACTCCGGGGTAGACCCATAATGTATACTTGAGGAACAGGTACCTCAAGATCTTGATTCATCGCTAAAATGAAAAGCGAATTTAGCAGTTGAAAGATTTGTTCTTTTCAACTCACTATCCTCCATTGGTTCAGGTGTATCATGTTTTACTTGTCTTCCAGCCACGCCTGAAACACTTGTAACTTGATTACCTAAAAGCAAGATAGTGGCAAAGGTTAAAATGAGTTGACAGTAAATGAAGGACAGAAAAGATAACAAGACGCTTAAATGTTTTATTTATCTCGAACGGGCATTTATGTTTAACTTAAGGTTAAGTTATTATCCAGACCTATTCTACCTTGATTACTTGAAGTCTTTTGACAAAATGGATTTGTTACTGTACGAGGATAAATTTTTTTCACCACTTTAAAAGAAAAATCAGAAAAATGTCAGATTTAGACTTGTCTATGCTTTAGTTACCTTGCTCCTCTTGCGTTTGTGTATCCTGTACACTTGAAAAACCTGACATCACTTGTGCGTTTTGTTCAACTTGACGCGCTAGAATGAAAATTGACGATCCACCCAACGCAATGTATAATTTATATACAAACATAATCGAAGCATAGTTTTAGTCTTCACTCACCGTTTTCCTTTGCTACTGATGAGACATTGGGGCTTTCGGCAACCAAAGCGGCTAACGAACGCTTTACCGCACGAAACACTTCTATATCCATAATATTTCTAGACATTTAAGAACACACGGACTTTTAAACGATAATCTACAAAAAGCAAACAAAATCCATACACTAAGCCACTCTACCAAGACAACAGATATACAGAATTCTAGAATAGTAGAACTTCACAATTTTACAATTTTAGAATATGAGAATCTGAGAATATTAGAATTCTAGAATATTAGAATTTCACAATTCCAGCATTGCAGAATTTTAAAATTATAGAATACGAGAATCTTAGTATGTTAAAATTTTAGAACCAGCAGTGCAGAATTATAAAATTTTAGAATGTAAGAATCTTAGAATATCAGAATTTTACAATTTCAGAAGATTACAGCTTTAGAACAGTAGAACTTCAAAATTTCATCATTGCAAAATGATAAAATTTTAGAATACTAGCATTCCAGATTTTTAGAATTTTTAGAACAATAGACTTGGAATAATGAACTGGAAACAGAACTCTTTCTTGCCAAAATTATTCAGCTTTTATATTTAGCATCATGAACTACATGTAAGAAATACAGAAAAAAACATTTTCGTTTTATTCTATTACTGTATGTGTTCTCCGACTTTGATGAGCGTTCAATATTCTAGAACACAAGCAGCAAGCATCTTCCATCCGACAAACAAAAGGGTTGTTCTCTCTTCTTGTACATCAATGGTTAACAATGAATGGGTACTGCGGAAGAGTACTATACCATACTCCCATGAATTCAAAACTTCTAGCATCCACCGCTCCTACGATGCACATAAAACCTAAATGCACTGACCTTCAAAATGCTACACTTTAAGAACTCTAGCTTACTATAATCCCAAATTATTGAAAACCTAAAAGAAAGTGGTTCCATAACTAAGTCTAAGTTAAAGCCCTAAGAAAAACGGCTACTTACTAACACTGATAAGACACACTTCAGGATAGTAAATTGCTCTAATTCAAGAAGTTTAAAACAGACGTCTTCTTTTAGCCTTAAATAAGCGATTCATGTTTTATCTTGCTTTCCCACTGACAAAAATAGTAAGCGAAAGGCAGAAAAGAAGAGAGAACAATCGTTGTGTTTCTCTTACACAAGATGCCAGGTGCTTCTTTTATAGCATATTGAACGGTCGTCTCTTATATTCAGAGAAGACACAAACTAGCAGAAGAATTGCAATTGAATTTATCAAACATCTGCAGAAACACTCTATGGGAAACATTTTACCGGTCTAGTTGATGTTCTACAAATTGTCTAGATTTGGATCAGGGAGACAATCCATGATGATGGACAGAAGACAAATACGATCCCAGAAATAGGTAAATTGTCGATTGGCGCCAATACGATTTTGTTGAAAAGTTTCAATATAAATATTCGATAATTCCTCAAAAAGAAATTGTTTCATCGGTAAGGATAAATGACATGTTGGTTGATTTAAAAATTTCGATAGACAAATGATTCCATCACGAGATACTCGAATGGATGCTTTCAATGTGGCAGTAATCCATTGTTGAATATCAACCATCAATGTAGCATTCTGAACATCTTTTTCTTGAAAGTATTGATAAATCGTTTGCATAATATTGGATAATAATTGTAGACAAATCGACACTTCACCAGTGATATTCCGCCCATCAATATCACCTTGCATGAGAGAGGTGACGTGTAATAATTGTTGAACAAGTTCAGTTGGTTTAGGAGTTTTTTCATTGAGAAGTATCAAATAAGCTAAATTCATGAATTCGATTCGATCTGTCATATGAACAAATGCCATGCGTTGTAAAACTCGTTCCGATGGTAATATTTCGAAATAAATGTATAACTATGAATCCATGCTTGAACATCTTAATTCTGGGTAGTACATAAATGACAAAGATTTGTCCATAGATGACGAAACATCAATTGAAATAAATTCTCTTGCACTTTCGAACGCGTTGCTTGCGCATCTTCAATCAGATCAGTATAGAAGGATTGAGTGGGATCAAGGCTTTCAGTGATTCGACAAGCATAATACAATGAAAGAAAGATCATTAGGTTCGTATTCAAGTAGTGCACAAAAATTAGCAAATCGCCAAATGTCTTGATTTGTTGAAGCAGTATAAAATGTCTTTTCATCCGCATCGATCAATGTTAACCAAAGGGAAATAAAATCAATCGTTTTCTCACATTGAATTTGATTACGATGGAAATTTTTTTCAATGATAGTACAGAGTACTCGAATAGAATCATTAATATACGATTTGAGAATAGATGAAGAAATGACTCTAGTTAAAATTTTATCTTTCAGCATCGATTGAATCAATTGATTACGAAATGGTTCGAATGTAGTCGTTTAATCTTTTTCTTTTTAACATTAGTCTACAGGAATTCTCCTCCACAGTCAACAATATCTGGATTAATTAGATCTCAAAGTATTTCCTCAAGATTGTATTCTAATCTTATTAGGGCAAGCAGAGAAGAAGATCCTCAAGGGTGATGATATGAAAAAATCCATTGAACATTATGCATCGATGAGTAATGAAACGATACATTTACAAATATCTATTCGTATTCAGATCATCAAATATGATGATTCCAAGAAGACTATGATTTCCAACTACTATGATTTCCAAGAAGTACCAATATGCATTTCTCATCGAGATATAACAATGAAACAATTATTTGAGATAATTGATTGAAATCGATGATGGTTATACATATTTAGCATCGTTTGAAACTAAGATGATCTTACCCGAAAATATGATCTTGTCCAATATAACGGATACAAAATTTTATCTCCTGAAAGAATATCAGACATGTCTAGTATCCATTGAACAAGCTGATGCTCTACTAGTAGTGATTAATAAAGAGAATATGAGAGATCAACGGTATCTCATCGATGTTACCATGGATCATGTCTATAAACAGAATAAAAACATTGATCAAGATCAATATCTTCTCTACGATAATGATTTTGTTCCCTCGCGTGAAACTTCCTTAGTTCTTTTCTACCTGTCACCACATCGTCCGTTCAATTCATTTTAATTAGTCGAAATTTACCAGCGAATATTACTGTAACTAGTGATGAGCAACAGAGTTCAGTACGATTTCATTGCTCATCGTCCGTGTCCCTTGGTCGTGTCATTCAAATCGCTTGTCAATTATGGAAATTAAACAAACGATTCTATCGTTTAACACTGGCCGATGATTCAAATGTGGATGATGATTATGCATTAGATGATATCGATGAATCTATTGATGATTTGCAATTGAAATTAATATCCATGGCCAATGTCAAATGTACGATTAGCAACAGAATCGAATTATCACGATTCCGGCAACGGATACAACACTAGTATCGACTATTTTGCAGGAAGCTTTGAAAAACTTTTTCATTCCATTAGATGGGATAGATAAATTTAAATTAAGTGTTATGGATAAACCTGAATGCCCAACCAACGTCGATGATGACTCATCTATCGAAGATATTCGTTTAGCTTTGCCCGGTGAATCCACGACATACCACTTCAATTACAAAGAAAATGAGACAGGAAAAAAAACCTCTGTTTTTTTCTTCCAATGATTTCCGATCATTGTTTTGTTTATTTTTTTATGAATAAACCTCAATGTTTTTTGTTTCTAAAACATAAGCAGAATTTCAACGGATGAAAAGATTGTCTGAAAGAAAAGCATCGATTTGCTTTGATCCGTGTCGAGAGTACTCACACTGATCGATGTGCTGTTTGCTAGAACTTGATTGAATTACATAGATACATGGTGAGTGTCATGATTTATCAGTTAGATAGTAGAGGTAACAAATTGCCTTCACTTTTCTGATCTTTAACAGATTTCTTCGAAAACTCAAATTGATGCGACGACTGCTCTGTCCACCGGTGACTTTCGTGCTACTACGATGAAATCTAGAGAGTAGCACAGTGGGCAATTTTGACTAGGCACGTGGACATATGCTGCAGAAGTGGTACGTAAGTCTATAAACACGTTTTTTATAGGTTTTCGAATATGCCGTTTCCAACGGTGAGCTTTTCGAAATCCAAAAATAATTTTTTCTGGGTTTTCTAGAGATCCGGTCTTCAGAAAACCCAGAAAAAATTATTTTTGGATTTCGAAAAGCTCACCGTTGGAAACGGCAT